TATAAGGAACGATGTATATATCAGGAATATATATGTGGAACGTGTGGAGGAATATGAAGGAGGAATGAGGCGCATGTGGGAGGGAGATGAACAAGAGGAAGAGGAAGAAGAGGAAGAAGAAGGAGAAGAAGAAGAAGAATATTATTGATTCTGTTGGTTGTTAATTCTCTCATGTTGGAGGGTCGCGTTGGGGGGGGGGGGGGGGGGGGGTTGGAGGTCTTGAAGAGGAATGGGTTTGACGTGCTGCGGCCAGGTGTTTTCTGCTGTATACTCTGTACACGTCGTATCTATCACTACGATGCATGTATAGGTCTATATTATATGTATACCATATATACAGACATACAAAAAACATACACAATATACGCACACACATACATGTACATGTATATATTTATATATGAATACAAGATTGAAATACCATCATACGACCTCCTCTCACCCTGTGACTTCCTCTTCTTCCTCTTCCTCTCCTTCTCTTCTCGTGCGTACGTACATACGAACAACCATGTCATGGATGGCATCTTCCTCGGGCCGGATCTGAACGGGGGCAACAGAGTTGGCATATCCAGCCGTTTTGCCTGGGTGGCGGACGGGTGAATTGGCGGATACAGAGATTAGGTTTTACGACTGTCAGGTCGGTAATAGTAATCACTCCGTCTCTCACTTCTTCCTTCATTTTTCCCTGTGTAAGAGAGGAATTTGCTAGTGATAGCGGCGGTGTTTTGCAGTCGTCCGACGGCATCTTCCGTATCGGTGCCGAGACTTTTTTCTTCTTCTTTCTTTCTCGGTCTTCTTCTTATTCCCTTTTTCTATTTCTATCTCTACTTCTTCTCCTTGTCTGCTGTCCCTTCATTGTCGGAGTAAACATGTATATATGTATATATGTATATACATATATATATATATATACATGTCGAATCTTTTTTTGTTTGGTCTGTGTATGCGAATGTATATATATATATATATATGTGTGTGTGTGTGTGTGTGTGTACGTCCCGCGCATGAGTTACGGAGTGATTCGTACGTGACATTCTAGTCCGTTTCTGGTGCGCGTCTCCGTGTCGCCCAGACTTTTGGGTCGATAGCAAACTTGTTGCTGGGTTGTATCGGACCCTTTTTCCTCTCTGCTTTTATGCCTCTCTTCTGCCTCCCCCTCCCTCCTAAAACGGGGAATGCGCGTATTTCGGGATGGCTCACGATTGTCTCGTGTGTGCGTATGTGTGCGTAATGTGTATATATATATATGTACATGTATATATATATGTGTGTGTGCGAGTGTGTGTGCGAGTGTGTGTGGGTGTGTGTGTGGGTGTGCGTACCGCTGTTGCATCAGTCCCTCTCTCTCCCCTGGGTCGTGATATCAAATGTATGCTCTGTACAGATTACAGGTAGGTATAATATCAGGAAAGCCTTGTCTGCTCTATAATGATGCTATTCGTCAGCATCGGTCGCTGTCAATAGACGGCAACAGCAACAGCATCAGCAGCACGTTGCATATACATACACGAGATACATCTCCCCGTTCGACCACGCGACAGGCATGATGATGATGGCGATGATACCGATCAGACGTTGACACGCCCGGTAGCTGAATTTCCTTCAACGGCGGGGAAATGGTCGGCATCCAACCTGGAAGGGTGTCTGGGCCGACCGCTCCCGGACTAGTCGACTCACACGAGAGTCACACATACAACACACACACACACACACACACATATTCGTACATATGTACATATATACACATACGTACACACATATATACATATACGTACACACATATATACGTACACACACACATATATACGTACACACATACATATATACGTACACACATACACACACATACATATATACGTACACACGTCGTACACACATACACACACACACACACACACACACACACACATACACACAACATACAC